GAGCACTTTTCCTTATTGCCAGTGTTCGAATAGATTTACCAGAAAAGAGATGCTGGAAGGTTTTAGATGATGTAGATGGGGAAGTTTTCTTGCCTGAAAAAGCAGAGATGTCGAGGAGAGAGGATTATTTCAGACACAAGGCTCAGACAAGACAGAGGAAGACGAAGAAGGGCAAGATGGGAGTCGAGGGAGAGATTAGAGGAAGCTGAATAGAGAAAGAGCATCATATGTGAGGAGAAAGGAAAGCAGACAGCAAAGTGAAGGGATGAGGACGTAGAGAAAGATGCGGGGGGACTCTAGGGAGGTATCAATGAGGCTATTGATCTGTCCATCCAGCACACATCTGCCATCCCGTCACTGTCTTCCCTCATCTATTAGCATCATCAATTTAAGATGGATTTCCTTTTCTGTAGCGTGTCTGGATTTGCATGAGTGTGTGATCGGGACAGAAGGATCAAAGAGAAACTGATGAGGGGAAAAGGGAAAAGCACGAGTCTAATCAGTCTGTGGTCTAACTGTACAAAGGCAGAATTATGTGCTACAGCATGGATTTTGGCAGTATTGTTTGACGCTGAGGTTGTGAATAGTCAACATTTGTCAGTCAGATTTTAAATGAAATGCTGTATGAGAGATTTTCAGAGAAATCATTATTTGCAGCCACATTTTTTTATCTGTTTTATGAAAATTCACATTGATGACAAGTATATTAGAATGTGTACAAGGCCATTTTTTTGGTACAACTTTCAGCTCTAAATTGCACATGGGATGAAGTTACTTCTGCACGGTAGTGAGCTTAATTTGATAAAAATAGGTTATATACTGGACAGAGTGTTACATACAACGCTCTGACCAGTCCTCTAAAAAAGTACATCTTTACTGCTTCCATAGGAATTAAGAGGGTAAGTAGCAGAAGGTGCGGCTAATGAGATGCACTTCATTAACTGATCATAGCAGGTACGACTCTCTCTATAACAGCAGATGTTTGCTGTTCTGTAGCATTCAGGTGTGTTAACACAGTGCCCTGGTGTTCCCAGGAGTGGAGTTTCCATCAAATTTATGCCAAGATCAGACCGTGCAATGGCTAGAAAAACTGAAAAAACCCAAGAGCTACAGACTCTACAGGTCTCAGTTAGCATACCAAATGGTACATTTTATGATAGTACAATCAGAAAAAACTGAGAAATTATGTCTTTTTTGGAAGGGTTACCAGAAGGAAGCCTCTTCTCTCTAAAAAGAACATGGCAGCACAGCTTAGGTTAAGTTGCATCCAGTGGCCACTGGACAAATGAGACCAACGTGGAGATGTTTGCCCATAATGCACAGAGAACACAGTATATCAGCACAAACACCTCATACTAACTGTTAAGCATGGCGGTGGATGAATAAGGATGTAGGGCTTGTTTTACAGCCACCGTACCTGGACACCCTGCAGTCACTGAGTCGACCATGTACCAAAGTATTCTAGAGTCAAATATGAGGACATCTGTCCAACAGCTAAAGTGTGGTCCAAACTGGGCCATACAAAATGAGAATGATCTCTAGCACAGTAGCAAATCTACAACAGAATCTCAGAAAAAGAAAATAATTGGGTGTTGGTAAATGATATCCTGTGGTGGGACTTGAAGAGAGCTGTACATAAATGAATGCCTGTAAGCCTCGATGAACTAAAATAACTTTGTAGAAAAAGTGGTCCAAAATTCCTCCACAACCATGTAAGAGACTGATAAAGTCCTAGAAAAAATATACCTTGATGTTATTGCTGCTAAGTCACCAAATTACACAAAAATTGATTGAATAGTTGTTGAGACATTTCAATAAAACAAACTGGTTAATATTTTCACGACTAAAAGTGTCAGAAAAACCGTGCGCGGTCTTTTCTTCATGCATCACATCACAGACTTCTTATACTGCCAGTCTGATCTAGATTTCTATTCTCTGACTCAATGAAAACTTATAATTAACTGTCATTAAATAGTTCCAGGTTTTCAATACGTTTAATTTATATGTCATTAAAAAGGCCCAAGATCTTGATTTCATTGCATACCACCATCACCACTAGTCACTTCACAACACATTAAAAAACAATTGGAGTCACTCTAAAATAGAGTGTAGCTGCCTCATCCGTCTCACTCTAATGTCTTTGTTCCCTAAAAATACCCCTGTTCTTTCCTGAATAGTCACGTTAACAGGCAAGCTGTTTACCAAAGATGCATTGTAACTCACTGACATTCACATCTAAAAAACAAAGAAGGTGGGACGAGAGAGCGACAGCACGGGAGAGCAGAAGCAAGAAGAAGATAACAAGCAGAAGAGTGGAAAAACCAGACATCTGTGTACTAAAAGCTGACGTTTTGATTCTTGTCTGCTCCATCAGCTGACGTCTCCTCTGCTGATGAAGTACTAATGGACTGTGCCATTAGCTAAAAGTCATTAAGCTTACTCTGCAAGATCAATTGTCCATAATAATATGAACTTTAATATCAAACGGGACACTTCTGTCAGTACATCTGGCTTATGTCCCGTCAGGAGGAGTGAGTGCTTGAATCGAGCAGATAATCAATTATTCATCCAAACAACCAAAAGAGTCATTTCACCTCAGGCTATTTTAAGATCTGCATCTGTAAGTAATGGTGCGTGAGATAAAACATGGCGTTCCATGAAAGAAAAGAAAAAAAAAATAGAAAATCCTCTTCTTCTGTGCTTTGTGACTGAGTGCATTGATGCGATGCTTCTGTCAGATCAAACAGAGAAAACTATGTTGTCTTGCAGTATGCTTTGGGACTGTGTAGGTCCCGGCCCGTGAAAGGAGGTTAGCTGGTTGGAGTCTGACTAGGGGCTGAAAACCTGCTGACTGCACTGCTAAGCTAGCTGCTGACTGCAAAGCTGTGTTAGTGCCTTCTGTCCCACCTGCTCGCTGGTGGAGCTCAACCATGCAGAGACATCAAGTGACATATATAGTTCCGGGTTTGCACGCACAACTACATGCACAAATGCACACTGTCATGCATAAACGTGTTTTTAAAAAAGCGTATAGCTGTGTTACTAAAAACAGGGCCTCACACTAAATCTAAATGATTAAACCTTTCCTCTGCTTCTTCACACCTGCATCCACTGCTTACAGCTAGGATTTATTTTTGGAGATTTGCTCACTTTATACAATTTTTTGCCTATGTGTTATTACCTTACTGCTAACCTTAGTTGCAAGAGGGTCAGTTTTTCTTTTGGAGAACAGCGATATTCATACCCATGCTACCTGTTTCACCCAGACTGTGTCTTTGTGCTATGCGAAACTAATATGCAAAGCTAAGCTTTATCTCTGCAAGCAAGCGTGGTAAGCGTATTTTCCAAAAAAGCCGCTTCCTTAACATCGATGTAATTTAATTTTCCGCTAGGGTAAATTAGAAATCCTTTATTTATTTTACTTTATGCATGGCATTGATGCAGCGCTGCAGCTCATTTTCAGTGTCAAATAAGCCACTTATAGCTCCTGTTTCTTTAAGACTTGCATCCCTGAAAGCCTCTTTTTTTTCTCATTGGCTGCCCCTCGCCTGCTTTCATGTACAGAACCCAGAGCTTATAAGCCCTGTCGCCATATAAGGAAAACCGTGGCTCATTATTCCAAGATTTCAGAGCAGTCTCAGGCATATGCATTTGGTTCACACGAGCTAGTCTTTAAAGCTGAAAGCTCTTCAGCTGAAAGAAGAAGAAATTTTGACTTTGAGTTTTAACGGGTGTTTGAGAACCGAAGAGACCAAATGTAGTGGTTTTCAAACAACAGTGTCCCCATTCCTGCTTGAGATTGAACTGTGTTGGCAACAAGCCACAGGGTCCCAGTTTTCCATTACACTTCAATCCTCCTTAAATCGGCACTTCTGGAACTTGTTGATATGTGATTCTTTGCATGGTGGAGTTTTCCATTAATGGCTGCAGCTACAAACTGTTTATTTCAGTGTCTCCTGAGGGCCTGAAGATCACAGTCATTCAATCAGTCATTCTGTCTTTTTTTTTTTTTCTTACTTTGGTGCTTTTTCGAGCATCCCCGAGAGACTGAACTCTCAGGAATGCTCAGTCAGGTGACTAATTAACCTTGTTCATTTGTAGACGTTATCATTAGACCATTTTTTTCTGAAACATTTTGCAAGAATCAAATTCTATAAGAGGACAATAAAATAAAAAACAAAAACGCATTTCTTAGTATCAAGTCACCTATTGTTTTCTTTTAGTTTTTTTTTTTTTTTTTTACTGGGGGCATTTTCTATTATAAATATATGTTAAATGACTTCAAAACATTGCGGTCTTTTAAATAACTTTCTACACAGGACCTCAGTCTGTCTAAAAACACAGTTGTACATATTTCAGTCTCATTTTCTGACCAATTAACCAGGTTTTTCGTGAGTATCCAGAATTGGAACAACATGAAAAAAGGAGGAAAGTTATTTAACAGACCTTGAACAATTATGCATACTGGTTTTCTTTACATGTGCATCTGGGTGATTTAAAATATTATATTATGCATGTTATGTGGCCGGAAAATCTGGACAGAAGTACAATGCCTTATATGTTTAAATGACCAACGATCTTTCCACTGTGCTAAACGATATTTCCTACATCAACATAATTTTTGTCTCTGGAGACAGAACTATTTTCCAAATCTGTGTCTCTAATTTTTTCTGGCTGTTCCCGGTGAAGTTGTGGTTCAGCCTCCACTTCAGTGAGCAAGAAGAAGCTAGCAATTATTCAACTGCCTTGGTTCCTTCTTGTCTGAGTAATTATTTAATATTTAACTATGTAAATTGATGCGGATGAAATGCATTAGACCAAGACTGAAAAACAAATGAATTTAAACCTTTGTATGTAAGGCTAAGAGTGGAGTACGGAAGCGGATATAACTGTGGTGCACACTTAATGGGTTTTTTATGTGTGTGTAATGTAAAAAACAAACAAATAAATAAATACATAAAGCATGTTTGTGTGTGGGTTTATTAGTTTTTTTCTTTTACCTTTGCAAGTGAAGCAGTTAACGTGAAAGTGTGTGTTCTTCACACGCACCACCTCCCCACGACAAACCTCCCCACAGCGCTCACACACGATGGGTGAATTTCCACGGCTGGAGACGGGAGAGCTGCTGCTGCTGTTTCCTCCATAGAGGCTCGACTGGTACTGAACTGCTGGCAGAGAAAAGAAGAGAGGCAAGGATGAAAAAGCATGTTACTTGTTATCTTTTTGAGCCAGTTGCTCCACAGCCTCAAAATGACAAGGTTTTAAACGCCTTTTTCAGCCAAGCATGTTGTTACAGGGATGGCAAAACAATGAATCTTAATGAATTTGAAAACAGTTTCTCAGTTTTGCCTCATGAGTTAAGATGAAAGCAATCAGTTCTATAAGGCAACAATTACTTTCCAACATCAACCGCTCAACAAAAAAAAAACCCGTCAGTGTGGCCTTCAGATGACACTCTTGTTAAATGGTGCACAAACACTATGGCAACCAACCCTGTTGGATCAGTAAGTCAGAAAACATGAATACAAACATTTACAGTAATAGAACAGACACACCAGCGTACACACTTGATTAAATGTTCACAAAACATGAAGAGATTGACTTTGTACCCAATGTCTTCAGAAGCCTCTTAGTCTGCAAGGGAGATTAGCCTGACTTACAACCATTATTATTGCAAGGCACATAGACAACATCTATCATCTGTCTTCTTCTGTCTGCCCACCATTACTATGTCCATGTCCATTATCAATGGTTAGCCATCACCAGTTTATCTGGAAGTCCCGCAGCATCTTAGCTCAGTCATTCTCAATCATCCTGCAGGGGGGTCTCACATTTTGACCTTGGGACTTCCAGGTTATACTCAGCACAGATGTTCCTGTATACTATGCCGACCACTTGGTTATGGCGTTTCATGTATGCCCTGCCTGCTAGCATCTTGCACCCGCTGTTATGTGCTGGATTGTCTCAGGGGCATCTTTACACAGCCTGCACCCAGAGTCTTGACTGGTGTAGTAGACCGCAGCCTCTATGGATCTTGTGCTCAGAGCTTGTTCCTCTGCTGCCATGATTAATGCCTCTGTGCTGTCTTTCAATCTAGCTACTGGTAGGATTTCCCAATATCAGCCACTTCTTCTATGTAAAGGTGGTTCATGCCATGCAAGGACCTGTCCTTCCATGATGGTTCCTCTTCTTGCTCCTCTTCTTTCTCAGATTTCTGCTGCCTGTGGTATTGACTAAGCAAGTGGTCAGTCGTGGTCATCTTCCTGATAATAGTGGTTCTGACAATCACTAGTCCTCCAACTACTTCCTTCCACTTAGCATACAGTCTCAGGGTGCTGGACTTCCATGCATGGAAAGCAGCTTTCTTGCCTTGATCAGTGGCTTCTATCTCCTCCTTTGATCAGCTGATTATCCCAACAGGATATCTAACGGGCAGCAGGGCGTAGGTGTTGATGGTTGTTCTTCCCATTCGACTGACTCCACAGGATTTGCCTTAGTCTCTGCAGGTATTTGGTGGTTGCAGCTTTTCTAGCAAGCTCTTCATGTTTCCCATTTGCCTGTGGGATTCCAAGTTCTGTCCTCTATGTCTACAATGTTGCCTTCAGGTAGTGCAATCTCCCTTAGTCCTGACTACCTTCCCTTTCCTATATATTTACTTTTTCCATTTCTAATCCTGGATGGCAGCAAACCATTGCATTGCATTTTCTGACTTAATCTTTTTGCATATGTCAATAAAGCTCTGAATGATGTCAAATCTCAACATACATGCAGAATAGCAAAGATACACACACTGCTGGAGAGAGAACAGAGCACTCTGGGGTCTTTGTGAGATTACACCTCTGTCATCCTTATGAAACTAGTCAAATCCATTTTAATGAAAAAGGCCTTTCTTTAACTTCTCCCAGACACACATGTCCATGTTCCACATCTGTGTGATGAAAGGACAGCACAGGAAAAGAGCAGTGGGAGGATTAAAATTCACTGCCTGACTCATTAAATTTTGTTTTGCCATAAAAGTAAATTGCGCTCAACAGACCGTACAGCACTCTGAGCAACAATTCTACTGTATTCTGCTCAATTCAATTACATTACAGTTAATGCTGCTGTGTCTCAGAGTATTATGCAATCACAGCAAACACCACGCTGGCAGGTTAAGCTGGTGACAGCAGGAGAGACACGGAAAGAGAGGGTTGTGAATCTAAAAATGTTTTCATGATAAAGAAAAGATAAAGAAAAGGTAAAACTGGGACAAAAATGCTTCATAACAAATTGTATCATCAAGTGTGTGTGTGTGTGTGTGTGTGTGTGTGTGTGTGTGTGTGTGTGTGTGTGTATCACAGAAGCTGGCATTGGTTTTGTAGCCAGATGGCAGCACAAGAACTGGAACAACAGACATAGAAAGATTTGAGCCACCTGTGTGTGGCTGAGAAATTAAATGTGTTACTGTGTGTGTGTGTGTGTGTGTGTTATTAGCAGGTTTAAGTGATCTAAATTTTGGAATTTGAACTTGTGCTGTGTGCGTGTACTGTATATGCAGTGTGTGTGTGTGTAGCATGGGTACTGCTTTCTTGATAATGGAGCTAGGAAAAGTTCTGTCCACACAACAAATAACTGCTCTGTATAACATTTGCTTCTTTAAGCAATACATGACCAATACAATAATCAAAAATATCTGTTTTTATTCAAAAAGGGCGGTCTTCCTAACATACCCTGACTAAAACGTTCAGGAATTTGCAGATTTGTGATGAAAAATAAGAGGCTCCCATTGGAGGAAAGGAAATGAAGGAGCTAGTTAAAGGAAATTAACATCACATGACATTATTACTATTTAATAATAATGATAATACTGACACTAACACCAGAGTGCAGTGAAAAAATACATTTTCTTTCCAGTTACAGATGAGAGAATCGCTGTGTCATTTATATATACAGTCAGAGTCACCTCATTAGGTACCCTGTGTACCCCTTAATGCAACCTGCTGAAGCTCAAACTGAGCATCAGAAAGAAGAAAAAAGGTGATTTAAGTGACTCTGAATTCAGCATGGTTGTTGTGCCAGTCTGGTCTGAGTTTTTCACAAACTGCTGATCTACTGGCATTTTAAAGATAAAATATCCAGTGAGTGGCAGCTCTCTGGGAGAAAATGCCTTATTGATGTCAGAGGTCAGAGGAGAATTGCCACATTCCTTCAAGCTGATAGGAAGGCAACAGTCGATGAAATAACCTTTCGTTACAGCTAAAGTATGCAGAGGATAGTCTTAAAACGCACAGCACCTCAAACCTTGAAGCTGATGGGCTACAGCAGCAGAAGACCACACCAGGTGCAGCTCCTGTAAGCTAAGAAAAGGAAACTAAGGCTACAGTTCACACCAAAATTGACAATAATAAAACTGGAAAATGTTTTCCTGGTAATGAGCCTGATTTCTGCTGCAGCATTTGGATGGCAGGGTCAGAATGTGATGTAAACAACATCTTTACATCACAATTCAGGTGGTGGTGGCGTTATGGTGTGTGTGGGGCCTTTTCTCGGACCCCTTAGTACCACCTCAGCATCATTTAAACGCCACAGCCAACCTGAATATTGCTGCTGACCATGTGGATGTTTTTTGTGACCTCAGTGTGCTCATCTTCAAAACTCAAATCATCTCAAACTGGTTTCTGGAATGTCACAATGAGTCTAAATGGCCTCCGCAAGTCCCGGATCAAAATCCAACAGAGTAACTTATGTAGTAAAACAGGAGATTTACATCGTGGATGTGCAGCCAAAAAAATCTGCAACAACTGTGTGATGCCTTGTTGAATCTATACCATGAAAAAGTAAGTCAGTCCTGAAGGCAAAAGCGGTGCAACCCAGTAACAGGCAGGTGTACTTTGTGTAATGGCTGGTGAGTGTTATTGTTATCATGGATGTATGATGCTGATAAATTATTAAAAGTAACTAGAATTTCCAATCTCTCTCTCACTTGGCATTTGCCAGAGAAGACCAGAACTGGCAGGTCCACCAGAGGTGCTGTTCTCTTCACAGACATCTGGATATCCTTGGTGAATGCCAACTGAGCTGCATTGTGCTTGATTGTGAGCACAGATCCCATTAGAGAACATCAGCATCTCATGCAATGCTCATGGAGTCTGTTTGTAATAGTTAGGTCAGAAACATGCACATGAATTGCTCGCTAGAGGTCATTTAGTAGGGCTCTGGCAATGCCAGGCCTCCTGTTCTTATTCAAACCACAGCTGCGTTCAGTACTCCTCATTTCGCCCAGTCACTCTGGAGACTGTGCTGAGAGACACAGCAAACCTTCTCATAAAACCACGTATGAATACGTGCTGGAGCTGGACTACATGTGCAATCTCAATGAGCAGCAGACATCATCTGGTGCTAAAAGAATTGACAAGGACACCAGCAAGAAGCCGAAGTACAGAAAGGAGGTCAGGAAGGATAAAAAGAGACCACAACAGTGCACCTGTTGTCGCGTTCAGCTGCACTAAAGCAGGTGAAATGCTTTCTGACTGGTCAGATTTATGAAGTTTAACTGATTTCATGTTATATTGTGATGATCAAGAGTTCCCTTTATTATTTTTGAGGAGTGCATTAGTGACCCCTTGAAAATAAAATGGCACAAATGATGCCTAATATGCAGTAACTCATAAGTAAAACCACTGAAATTTTTACGTTTGTATAATTGAGACATCATGATGGGTCCCAACGAACGACTGGAAACCACTGATTGACCAAGTTAATTTATTTGAATAGTTGAGTTGCAGTAGAGTTGAGATATCCAGTGATTCACACAAAGCATGCAAAAAATATAAAAAACATCTAAAGCATGAATCATTTAACAGTCTGGGGATCCATCCGATTTATCTCGTGACTTCATAAGTCACCCCAGTTATTCTGCTCTGTTTGAAAGCATCTCATGTTTACTCTGACCTGTGACTTGATTGGTAAAAAGCATGAATATACCAATAAAGCTCTGAACCAAATCAGCCAGCAAACAGATAATCCTCTTCTTTTCTGTGGCAGAGTTTGTGGGGGTTACAGTCACTCAGCTGGGGGTGGCCTCAGCTATACTGACATGGTACTACTTGTACAAGTGTAGCACCACCAAAGCCCTTATAAGGTTAACTATTCCCTGTGGTGGGAGGTATAAAATTGAATGGCTGCTAGGAGGAGAAGGCAGCTGCTTGGTAGCTCTTACTGGAAAGCACTGTATAGAAGCAGCAGATCCACTTTGTTCTATGTTCCTTCAGAGATACAATTCTGGGATTAGGTGGTTTCACATTAATAAAAAAAAAACTGCTTTTATTTGGTGCTATGTTGAGTCACTGATGCATTTTAATATGTGCACCCAGCACAGTGTCAACTACAGATGAGCTCTTTTGTCTTCCAGCTATCAAAGAACAGCAGGCTTCTTCTCTCCAAAATACATCTGACAATACATCTGACAAGCCATCACAAAGTCTTCTAGCCATCTTACTTGTATTGACTACAAAAATGATTTCTCTCTTTCACACACACACACACACACACACACACACACACACACACACACACACACACACACACAAAGAATAATAGAATAAGAATAATAACAATAAAATCTGCCTCAAAAAGTAAATGTTCGAGTAAATATTGGGTCAATAAAAGGAAGCAGCCTGCTGGGTGATATGACTTTGGAAATTTCTCTACTGTTGGAGTCCCTCATGAGTCAGTTCATACTGCTGACAGTCCTCAGATCTGGCAACACGCAATGACATTGAGGAAAACATTGATGAATCCCGTCACCGATCTATAACCAATATCATGCTCTGTTTCAAAATGCCACAGCCAAAAAAAAAGCTAGTTAACAGCCTGTCAATAAGTGAGCCAGTGATCAATAACCTTGGCGAGGGGCTGTTTATGTCTACTTCAAGCTAAGCCCTCTCAGGACACTGTGGTATTGATCAGGCAGATTCGCGCACACTGCTTACCGTCCGTCGGTCCGCTCATGGTGCGAAGTTAATTCCCAGAAGCTTGAATGAGAGTCGCCCCGTTAAACCTCGAGTGGCAGGGCAAAAGCTCCGAATATGACAACTCTCTCGTTCCCCGTCCGACTTAAAACTCTCCCTCCCTCACTCTGCCTCAGCCTTGAAAGGGCTTTCCCTGCTCCTCCCGGGCAGAGGATTACTGTCAGGCGGCGGATCGCGCTGCCTCTCCACCCTGCGTAAAGGCAGGAATTAAATGGAAACGGACGATTTACTACTTCTCCTAAAGCTTACAGCTTCTTCTGCCTCCTCCACCTCACAAACCTCAGTGGTCCTCGGTTCCGGTGCAGACGTGTCCATTGCAAACTGTTCTGTCACAGCAGCGCCTCTGAGGTCGCCTGTAAACCGGTGCGCTCCGGCGTCAGGGCTGAAATGCTGGATGCTGAGTTTCTGGGGGTGTTCGCAGACTCTGGAGATGCCGGAGCATCTTTGGCCGGGCAAGGCCGGGGCTTTTCTCGCGATGAGAGAGCGCCGAACAGCGTCCGAATTCCAAAGTGCGTCAAAAATAAAAAGCCTAAATATCCGAAACCATAACTCCCCACATGATAGTCAATAGTCGTGCCTATATTTTTGTGAAAATTTCTATCAGCTTTGCTTTGGTGTTTCTTCGCCTTTGCTCTTTTATATTCCAGTCAACAAATGTGCATCTTTTTTTTTTTACACTTATTTTAAATTTGTACCTCATTTTTAGCTCCACAGGGGGTGTAAAGAGTGGAAATTCTAGTCATACGTATTTAAATTAGATTAATTTTGTAGCGGATAAGTGATTCTGGCGAACAAATTATTTCTGAAGATCCGCGTACCAAGGATTAAAACGAAAAGAATATGAACTATTAATAGTTTATGACTTTGATTCCAACTATTAAGTGTAAATTCCCACACGTAGTGAAGTAGCTGTCGTTACTGGTTTACAGTCGCTTATGTCGGGTATATGAGCTAAATTTGGACACCCAAGTTTGTGAGTGCCATTACCTGAGAACGAGGCAACGTAGGATTTTGAAATGTACACCATACGTGCATTTACTAAAAATCCCAGAGGAGAAGAATCTCGACCTCAAGGTCAAGGTCAGAGTTCAACTTTTCTGAAAATCACCTAGGATTTTCACATTTATACCACAGATGCAACTGTCTACTAGTTCATGCACCTATTTGATAATTACAGCTATGAGGAGGCTGGGCTGCCTATATTTTTCTTACTTGTGTTCAAGTACAGTTCTGAGCCTGGTTCTGCAAGATATTTCTTCCTGTGTTAAAAGGGGCTGGGCAGGCTGTATGATTGTTGGGAGATTTTTTTATAATATTGTAGTGTCTTTACCTTGCAGTATAAGGTGCCTTGAGGCAACTGTTGTTAATAAAACAGAATTAAATTGAATTGAATTATTCCATGAATAGATAATTCTATTAATGTATAGCTAAATAAATAGCTAAAAAATTGACAGGACAGACCAAAGAAAATATTATCTGTAGATGTAGAGAAACACCAAGAGGTGGCAGTGTATGTCTAGAGAAAAAGCACTGCACTATTAGTAAAGTCTATAAGTTTGGATAATATTAAAGTAAGATGTGACAAAAAGAGAGAAGAAAAAGTGAACATAGCTGGAATGCATTTATTATTGTCCATAGAAGAAGAACTGGGTATATTTTTGATGCCGCTGAACAAAATCACAGGAATATTTGGATTTATTTGGTATATTCTACTACTCTTTGAATTGCCAAACAGGTGTTCTATATATATATTTCTTTTGAAGACTTTGGCATGTGATTGTTCTCTCCTGCAGGCAGCAGCCCTCCAACCAAAACATGTTTATAGTGTTAACTCTCAGTCTGTCCTGGCTCACTTCCCTGTAATTGAGAAACAATGCACAGGATATTTCCTGCAAATGCTGAAACTCATCTAACCTCTACAGCAAAGATGAAGTAAAAATAAAGTCGGGGAACGCCTAAGCTCAAAATCTAACAATCCTCAGTATATTAAACCTGGCTGAGGTGTGTGTTTAGTTTTTGATCAGTTTTAAGACATTAGCAGCAGCAGAGGTTTGAATCCTCCTGGGAGATCGCTGCCGTGTCTGCAGCGGCTGCACTCAGAATCAAAAGGTCAAAGCTTTGAGTGTCTGCTCATGCCTTCAATCGTGAGTCCGCCAAGGTCAAAAAAACAATATGTCATGCATGCAGTTTGTGTGTCTCCGGCGACTCTCAGATGTGATTAATGACCCATTGTTAAGTCAGTCTGTCCGTTTAAAAGCAGTTGGGAAGAACTGAAGTACACAGGCAAGTGCACCGTGCGTGTTTGTCTAGTTCATTGATTTTCTACAGTTAGCTGATGTATTATGTTCCAAAAGAGGACGCATCTGTTGTTTGTAAAAGATGAAATTACACTGTTTTTGGTCAGAGCAGACACGCTGAGAGGAAGCTAAAACAGTAAGATCATCTGAACAACAGGACTTATGTACATGCATAGGAATATTGTATATCAAGAAGGAAGAAACAGCATACTGACCATTATATGTGTAAATATAGATCGTTACATAAATGTTAGTACTGGTGTTGGCACTGTTGTCTTAAAGTAAGCAAGTCCAGAATTCGACTCCACCTCTGGTCAGAGGTCTTTCTGAGTTTGTTTAGTTCTCTGCGTGTGCTCCCACAGCCATGCTTTCCAATACCTCCCACAGACATACAATTATTGTGAATGTGAGTTTGTCTCTATGTCTTTTCCTGCATCAGGCTGCAGACCTGTCCAGGGTGTACCCCGCCTTTCTCGTTGTGGTACCTCGGACAGGCTGTGGTCAGATTAATTGAAATTTCACTATATCCTCTGGACTAAAGCAGAAATGGACAAGTGCTGTTATCAGCGCTCAGTTGAAAAATTGCATCTCTGATCGTATGGGGTGCATTAGTGCCTATGAAATTGACAATTTGTGCATCTGGAAAGGCACCGTTGGTTTTAGTACAACAAATGCTCCCATCTACCAACAGAAGGATCACAGGCTTACCTCTTTTTCAGTGAATGCCTTCTGTATTTCAACATGACAATGCTAGACAGTATACTGCATATACAGCAGCAGGGCTTATAGTAGAAGAGTAGAACGTGTTAGGACGTCATGGAATTAAAAATAAAACAAAGAAAATCCAGAACTGTTGAGCAACTGCAACTTATATCAGACAAGAATGGGAAATTTCTCTCCCGCAAGTCCAGCAGCTGGTCTCTTCAGTTCCCAGATGTTTACAGACTGTTTTTAAAAGAAGAGGGGACGCTACACAGTGGTAAACAAGGGCAATGTCCTAACGTGTCGGTGCCATCAAACCATGTGCTTATTTTTTGGTGCATTTTCTTGGCTTAAACATTTGATATGTTTTCTATTTTCTACTCTGAATAAATGTGGGTCTATGAGATTTGGATTCTGTTGCATTGTTTTCATTTACATTTGACACTTTTTTGGAAATGGGCTTTCAGATTCAAATCTCTGAGTGATATCATTCGTGTTGTTTCTGCACCACATTTTGTGTTACACACAGTTAGACAACAGAAAATCAGCAGGATTGACAGTGTCATAAAGAGGGCGCTGCTGTTTTATTGCAAGCAGTTCCACCACTTCCCCTGCACAGTATAGAAGCTTACAGGATGGAGCAAATAAGAGACAGACAGAAGTACAAAGATTGTGTTGTGCCTTAGCAACAAATCACCATATCCTCCTGGACAGGAAGTAACTGGCTTTGAAGGAAATATGACATAACACCTACCTATAAACAGCTCTGCAGTAACAGTAACATTTACCCTTACTACTGTTTCATTTACTTGCACAGTTCTAAACATGATAATGCCAATACTATTAGTAAATAATAATGGTAACTTCATTAAATAATAATAGTAAAGAAACAAACTGCAAACACAATATTGATATTGTATTCATTGTAAAATTGCTTATGACCTCATCTGTCAGTTATAAATAATTTATGACAGTAAATTCTTTTTGCTCTGTTTTTGGTCTCTACCAGCAGAAGGAATTGTGAAGGTCTTTATCTGCTGAATGCTTTGCTGTGTTCAGATGTGACCTTGTGCTATTTCTGTTCAACGTATAGCATACAGTGGGTGTTTCGAGCGTTCTTGCTCAAAATAGCTTCCCGATGAGATCAGTGAGGATGAAATAAAACGTTTAACCCACTGACATAGACAAAATCAGCCAAATCACCCGTGTAATGGATAAGCGAACACACGGGTGGATGATGGTTGAGCAACAGGCCTCTTTGAAGTCAGAATTGCAGACTTGCAGCCTTAACAAGGTTTTTCTTTTCACCGTCCATTTTGCTGTGTAAAAAACCCTTAAAACTGTTTGAGAATAATTCTGTGCAATTGCTTCAAAACCTTTATTTACAGGAACACACGCAGGAAAGTGAGACTGTGCACTCTTTGCACTCTTCTGCAGTTTTTGGTTTTGCAACTACTTTTACCTTTAACCCATAAAGTTGTCTTCACAAAGACTGGGTATTCTGTGTGTCTATTTATAGCAGAAAGGAGACACAAGTCTGTACATAAAGTCACACTGTGGAGACTTTCTTCCCATCTGAAGACAAAAATTATGATCTTGACTTCAAGGAACAAGGCCTTGGTACATATGTGTTTACTTGTGAGTTCATCAGTCAGGAAATGAAACAAGTTGAAGGTGAGGTCAAGGCTATTGTGTGTTTCAGTATAATAAGTGATCCGCCTCTGCTTCCTTCATTAAAGGGTCGTAAGTGGACTCTGTGGGTCAGGATTCTGTTCTTTATTGAAGGATTTGTTACATAAATCATAATCCAGAGATCAAGAGTTACAACAAACGCCCTAAAAGCTTCAGATTTATAGATATACGGGATTAAAATATGCCTGAAAAATCAAAAGGTGATGCTAATTATATATCATGCAGACATCCCCTGCAGCTGTCTTTTGTCTTACCTCGTGGCTTTCAATGAGTGTCTTTTTCATGAGTTCCATCATAACTGCTTGTTTGTGTTATGCTAGTCTACAATGTGCAGATTAAAATGCAGCGAATAATTTGGCTCAGAAAAAGCTGTATTTCTCACAGCTTCTTGAAAAGCTTGTGGTACTGAAATTTTCTCTGGTAGTGGAGTAGAACCATCGCCCTTGGCTGACTGCCACTTTCTTTTCACACATTGTTCAAACCTGGATGCCGAGCCAGTTTTTCACAGCTTTGGTTTTTATCCTTAGTCGTTCTAGCAGCTGTGTTTGGACAGATAGGAATTCTCTCAGCCTTTGGTCTACGGAGGCATAGCAGGCGAGTGCAGCAAGTAATGTGTCTTTGCCTGCTGTGCACCAAAGAGGAAGGTGAAACTCGGGAAGTGACAAACAGCAGTTAAAATGTGTTCATTCGCACAGAACCCGTGGAGCTTAGAGATACAACCAGTTTTACATCATGCTGAAACATGAAAACCGATGAAGATTTCCTCTGACGAGCAAAAGTA